AAAAAAAAGGGAGCCTAGATCCAGAGGGCACTGGAGGTAGAATCTTCACAGAGTAGTATCCAATCTGTGTGGGCAGGACTGATGAAAGGAAATGGGGATAGCACTCATGTGGTACAATGTTGTTGTTGTTGTTAAGTGCCGTCGAGTCGCTTCCGACCCATAGTGACCCTGTACAGGGTTTCCAAGACTGTAAATCTTTATGGGAGCAGAAAGCCTCATCTTTCTCCCGTGAAGCCGCTGGTAGTTTCGAACTGCTGACCTTAAGGTTCACAGTCCGATTCGTAACCACTATGCTACAATAATGACTAATTAATATCAGGACTGTGAGGGTTGGAAATGTAAAGGTAGATGTTTGTAGCAAAATGAAGGAAGTGGTTGACTTTGCAGGCCAGGAGCGGAGACCCCTGGGACCATCAAGGGAGAAGAACGGATTGCGGGACCCTACTCAGAGAAACAGTGACACCAGAGAGGGAAAGTGGCTGTGTGCTGATGACTGGGGGGCAGGCTTGCAGTGTGTACCCTTTGGTTGGTTGATGATGCATGGAGAGGATTGTAACCATGGCAATGTAATGATATATGATAGGATGAATGTAAAGCTAATGTTCTCCATTGTAAACTATCACATAATTCATAATGGAACAGTTTAAAAAAAAAAAGAAAGAAAGAAGACTTGCACAAGGCAGTTGTTGTTGTTGTTGTTGTTGTAATGTGCCGTGGAGTCAGCTCCGACTCACAGCGACCCTGTAAGGGGTTTCCGAGGCTGTAAATCTTTACGGGAGCGGAAAGCCTCATCTTTCTCCCGCGAAACAGCTGGTAATTTCGAACTGCTGATCCTGAGGTTCACAGCCTAATTCGTAACCACTATGCTACCAGAGCTCCTTTGCACAAGGCAGAGTATAATCTAAATAAAAAAGAAAAGAAAAGCCAAATGTATAGAGAACAAAGGTTACTATTGGTTCACTAGGGACAGGAGGGAGTCCTGGTGTGGCACGATGGGATAATGCACTGAACTGCAAGCTTGGTTTGAACCACATGGTCTGTGGTTCAAATTCACCAGCCACTCCTTGGAAATGCTATATAGGGTTGCTATGAGTTGGAACCAACTCAAAGGCACTTAACAACTACAAGGGATAGGAGGGAGGAGGAAAAGGGGATTTATTGCAATTACTGTAATTACAATAAGACAATTACTGTAATTACTCTAATTAAGTTGTATGACTGGAAAAAGTTAAGTTGAGAAAAGATGTGTGATAAGATATATCTATAATGACCAAAATAATAATAATAATAATAATAATAATAACTGCTGAGTTTGCTTATGTACAATGAAAAGCCTTACGGGATTTGGTTTCTTGGTTTGGAGATTTAGGGTTATGGTTTCGTGAGTCAGCTCAGTTAATTGGCTTAATAATATGTTTAGTGCCTCTGTTCTATGTCCTAGTATGATATGTAATGCCTGGGGTCTTAAAAGCTTGCAATGGCTGCAAAAGGAAAAATTAGTCTTTACTTGCCTACAACAGCAGAAGAAGAAGGCGAGTCAGGAATAGGAGGAGACTATGGAATGTGTGGCTAATTGCCTTCATGAACAATGACTCCTTTGCCATGATACCAGAAGAACTGGATGATAGCTGGCTTCCATTACTGAAAATTTTGATCACAGATTCTAAAGAAAAATCCTGATAAAAAGAGGGAACATCCAGAACAGAATTTTAAATTCTCACGAAATCTAGAATTTCTAGAGTCATGAAGGTTAGATAAAGCCCTGAAAGTATTGTCCTGAGATCATCTTTAAGCCTTAAACCAAAAATATTCTGACAATAGTTTAGTTTAACTAGTAAAACACAAAAACGTCTGCTTGAGCATTATTCTCTCTTAATAACTATCTATATGGGATCATAGTCACAACAGCAAGCTGAAAGACATGTTGAATTAGTTTAGGCTCTAAACATTCTCAACAACAAAATAAATAAAACTATATTGCATTCTAGGGTCCAAAGACTTAGAAATTATCTAAAGCAATGAAAAACTGTGAGTTGGCTTAGGAAATGAGAGAGAGGACAAAAAATAAAAATAAAAATAAATCCTAAACTAGCTGGACTGCTATGAATCAGTCTCATACAAACCAATGTGTTTGGGAAAGCACACTGGTAAAACACAAGCAAAGAGAGCTGAAATTCTTGGAAAGCACTTTCCTAGGAGAACAATAGTTACTCAATTAAAAGGAGTTGCAAGAAAATCAGCAAGTACCCAGTGACAAATTTAATGTCACTGCCTGCTTATTTAATTCCCTTCTAGATCTATGATGCTCAATGAACCAGTGAAGAAACAGTCTCAGTCCTCTGTATGTGGGATGCCTATGCTGTCTGTCTTTGAGATAAAGGTCGCTATTCAGACATTGCCAGAGTTTCTGGTTTCTGTGCAGAAAGTGAAGAAATGCACTGCCTACCTGAGAGTCCCGTTCTCTCCTTTGTCCAGGCTGGTGAATCGACTGTAGAGGCGGGTGATCTGACTGTGTGAAACTAAAGAATACAGAATTAGTCCAGGTTGAGGAAGTAGCCCTCCCCTCAAATGACATCCCAGGTAGTCCTTCAGAGCCAAGAGCCCTTCTGGTCCCAGTCCACCACTAAATCCTTCAAAGAGAGTAAAATGGGGAATCCTCCACACTATTTCTAAAGTGTCAAAGCAGACCATTTAAAAGCAAAAGAATGATGAGAGGAGTGAGAAAATAAACTAACTTAAGTAGTGGGCTACTAACCGCAAGGCTGGTGGTTCAAATCAACCAGTCACTCCTCAGAAACTCAATACAGGGTCTCTATGAGTCAGAACTGACTTGAAGGCATTTAGTAACAACAGCAATCAAAATGGACCCTTAGTAATGAAGTCTAAGACTGTGGTAAATATCAGGTGGTTATGACTTAACAAACAAAGCCAAACTTAGGAAACTGAAATTTTTACATTTCAGTGCTCTTAGAGCCTATGATCAAAACCACAATTTTCTAAGTTTGATGTTTTAGGTTGGTCCGGTTGGATAGGTGACTTGTGCTAAACTGAAGATTGGGGCATGTCAAACAGATTCTGTTTTAAAAATCTGGTTTACTCCTGATCATACTTCATTAGAGGCTGTAACTTTCCCTTAGGACTGACTTTTGGGTCAGTCTCTTTTCTGTGAGCACCTGAGCTACACTTGTTGTTGTTGTTAAGTGCCAAGTCAAATTTATAACAACCCTTTATATGGATTTCCAAGGAGCAGCTGGTGAACTTGAATCACCAATCTTGAGGTTCAAACTGATCTTGTAGTTCAGTGCTTATCCTATAGCACCACACCAGGGAGCTGGTTCCAATGAAGCAAGTGAGACAAATTGTAAAATGGACATGTTATCATCATTTGACATCTACAAGAAAGCTATTTTGCTCTTCATTTTCGATGTACTCGCAGGCACAACCAAAGATAACTAAAACTTTGGACTTGCAAAAAAAAGGGGGGCGGGGGCGGGGGCAGAAGGGAAGTAGTTTGGTTACCTGGCAAATTGGAGGTGGTTGTTGTTGTTAAGTACCATGGAGTCGGTTCCGACTTATAGTGACCCTGCACAGGGTTTCTGAGGCTGTAAATCTTTACGGGAGCAGAAAGCCTCATCTTTCTCCCGCAGAACAGCTGGTAGTTTCGAACTACCGACGTTGGGGTTAGCAGCCCAATTCGTAACCACTACGCTACGAGAGCTCCTTACCCAACCATACCAGATCTTTATTTCTGCTTAAACTTGGAGGTTGTTGTTGTTGTTGTTGTTATGTGCTGTGGAGTCGGTTCTGACTCATAGCGACCCTACACAGGGTTTCCGAGGCTGTAAATCTTTACGGGAGCAGACTGCCTCATCTTTCTCCCTCGGAACCGCTGGTAGTTTAGAACTGCTGACCTTGTGGCTCGCAGCCTGATTCGTAACCACTATGCTACCAGAGCTCCTTGGAGGTAGGAAGGGAAAAACAAAAAGAGCATTATTAAAGAAAAGACAACAGCCAAAAAGGGTGTGGCAAGCGTGGACTTTGTCTTGTGCAGTACCTTCCTCCTCCCCTAGCTCCTGAGACAAAAATCTACTAGCAGGCTTTGAAACAATAGAACAAAGTAAAAAGGCAAACAGAGAAAGCACAGAAGCTGGGGTGCGAGGGCAGTAGGTGTGGCTGTGAATTCTTCAGCATTAGGTTTCACCCTCTAAACTGGGATCTGTTCTGTTCTAGTGCTCTAATAAGCTCATAGTACAGACTGTTATTCCCAAGGAGGGTAGAGACAGCAGAGGTCCAGCCACTGAGGAAGTAGCTGTAGAGCCTGTAGCCAGCCAGGTGGTTTTGTCAGCTCAGTGTATAGGATATACTCTTGTGAGGGTCAGGTAGACTCTGATTATATCTGAGGTACCAACCTTTTACCAGACAGGTGAAATGAATGAGGTTGTGAGGAGGGATAACAAAATTGATGTGTGTAAAGCACTTAGGACAATTGGTCTCTATATGCCTAGAGTAGAAGAGGAGGAAGGAGAATCCAGAATAATAGTGGAGGGTACAGAATGTGTGGCTAATTGCCTCCATGAACAACTGCCTTCTTTGCTATGAGACCAGAATTGGATGGTACCTGGCTACCATTTCTGAACATTTTGATCAAAGATACTGTAGGAGAATTTTTGACCAAAGGGGGTAAAATGCAGAAGTGAATTTCAAATTCTCATGGAATCCAAAATTCTGGTGCCAAGGGACCTGGGATGAACCCCTGAACTATTGCTCTGAGATAATCTTTAAATCTTATAACAAAATATTCCCTGAAGTCATCTTAAAACAAATAATAGTTTATCTAACTAGTCAAAAGGTCTGCCTTGTGCATTATGTTCCTTTGAGAATTATCTACATAGGATCAAAATGACAACAGCAACTCCAAAGATTAGACAGGAACTTCATGAGCTAGTGAGTGTATGTTCATGAGGAAAGAACTCAGAAAGGGAGGGTAAGAAAAGTTGCACAACTTGAAGAAAGTAATCAATGTCACTAAATGGTACATGTATGTAGAAACTGTTGAATTGGTGTATGTTTTTCTGTGCATATTCTCAACAAGAAAATTTTTTTTAAAGAAAAGAAAGCACAGTGCTTGACGAAGGGGCTAGCACATGAGAAGCACCCTAGGTTAGCTATTACTGTCGTCATTCTTACAACATGGGCCTGAAGGTACAGTTTTACTGCTGCACTAATTAAATCTTTACTTTCCTCTGTGCTCTGCCAGTCACAGCCGATATTGTTAGGAACCCGGCCAGTTTACTGTGGCCTCTGGCTTCAAAGGCCCCTCTAGTTTGCCAAAAATAAGTCAGTTAAAGAATTACTAAATTTCCCAAAAGATATTTTACAAAATCAAAACTAACAATACTTACATAATAGTAATAGTTGACTTTTCCCTTGTTAATTTATAGATTTTCTATATTACTTTTGTTGTGTGCCAAAAATAAGTCAGTTAAAGAATTACTAAATTTCCCAAAAGATATTTTACAAAATCAAAACTAACAATACTTACATAATAGTAATAGTTGACTTTTCCCTTGTTAATTTATAGATTTTCTATATTACTTTTGTTGTGTGCTGTTGAGTTGTTTCCAACTCATAGTGACCCTGTAGAGGGTTTGCTAGGCTGTAACTCTTTACAGGAATTTAAAAGCCTCATCTTTCTCCTGTGGAACAGCCGGTGGATTCAAGCTGCTGACCTTGCGCTACCAGTACTCCTATATTGCTTTTGAAACTTAATTATTTCAATGACTACATAAGTATTTAGTCCACTGGGCCATTTTTACTATATTACATGTTTCAGACTACTTAAATGAAAAAAACATTACAATTATAAATCTTCTCATATTCAGTTTTTTTTTTTTTTTTGGTGGTTGTTAGTTGAGAAAATCATCCATGTATTTGATAAAAATGCAAGCAGAACAAAAGAGTATACACTAGAAAGTCTCCCTAACACTCAGATGCTTATCTTCCTTGTCAGAGGCAATTTTTTTTTTTATCAGTTTCTTGTGTCCTTTTGGAAATCCCCTATGTGTATATATGGAGTCCTGGAGTGGTGCTACAGGATTAAGCTTTGGACTGCTAACCACAAGGTTGGTGGTTCAAACCTACCAGCCATTCCTTGGAAATCTTATACAGGGTCAAAACTAACTGGATGGCAGTTAACAACAACATGTATATATGTAAGTGTGCATATTGATTTACAGAAATTTAAAATTGGAAGAAATATTATCAGCTAACACAACCTCTTTAACAAATGCAGCATTAGACACTTTTATAATCTAGATTATCATCTGAAATAAATGAGTACTGAAACCTTTTATGTTGTTGCTGTTGTTAAGTGCCGTTGAGTCAATTCCGATCCATAGTGACCTTGTAAAGGGTTTCTAAGGAGCAGCTAGTGAGCTTGAACCACCGGCCTCGCAGTTCAAATGACTTTGCAGTCTGACGCATTAGCCCACAACACCCTACCAGGAAACCTATTATAGTATAATTTTAAAAATTCCCTTAGTAAATACTACCATGGAGTTATACCCCTATTTCAGAGAGAGAGAGAGAAAAAAAGAGATAATTTTAGGGCACCTTAGAGTTCATATTGTTAAAAATAGATAAGGAAACAAACTAACCATAAAACTGCTATCTTTCAAGATAAACTGGGATATTAAGAAAATAACTGGGGCTGTGGCCAGCAGGGGCCTGTGGGCTCAGCAGAGGGTCTGTGTGCGGCCTATGGCTCACTTGTGTCGCTGCAGTGATTTTCTCTTCCTCCTCCTAAAGCAGCAGCAGCACTTGGTGTCATCGGTCACCTCCACCTCTGTTCCAAATGTCAACTTTTAATACAACTCAAGACAGTCGCATTTAAACCTATGTCCAAAATTCAAAAACTAAGGTTATGATGATATTGTTACTAAGAGCTTTGTTAACAAAGGAAGAAAAAGAAAAGTAAAAATTAGGAAAAGCAAGCAAGCTTTGAGTTAGAAGCTTAATCCACAGTGACAAAGAATATAAGCAACCCCCAATACATAGAGCTTAGAATAACCTCAATTCACTTATAAAGTAACTACACAGTCCATACACAGGACATTATTAAAGCTATCACAAATGAAGGCAGGACATGTTTCCAGTAAAATATTCTCAATGGAAAACATTAAACTCTCAGGACAGGTGTCCAAAATCTGCACCTTTCTTGGTAAACCAAAGGATGTCTTAGGAGTTGACAATTACGCTCAGAAAAGGTTGTGTACATGGGCATGTTTTGAATGAAGTTATATATTTCTCCATTGATGGGCAAAGTATTTTATACTACTGAAAGATTCAAAAGACCCTGAAAACCATCCTCACTACACACTTTTCTATTTATCACTGCCTTCTGCTTGGAGGGGGAAGCATTACAGAGAAGTCCGAACATCAAGGAGGAAAGGCAAAGAGAAGAATCAAAACAAAAAGGGAGTAGGAAAAAGTATTTCCAAAAGGAGCCCTGGTAGCGTAG